GTATGTGATGACACGAAAGCCTAAATCCCTGTCCGATTGGGTGCTAACGTTTCCCAACCGCGAAGAGTTTGTGGAACTCATCGTCCGGTCCATCAATTTAGTCAATATAGCGGTCATCGCGTGGATTGCCGTCACTTACAGCCAAATGCGGCCCAAAATGGTTTGGATTTTGGTTTTGTCTCTCTTTAACGCCATTCGGGCTCTGGTTTTGACGAAACTATGGTTTGAATTGATCCGCAAGTCGTGCGCAGACTTCGCCGACTGGAAGGCCAAGAATTTCCGCGTTTTTGTCGATAAGAATCCCGACTATAAGGCGAGGGAAGGGTTCGTGAAGTCCCGGTCCCCGTCCAAAGTGTCNGGGCTCTGGTTTTGACGAAACTATGGTTTGAATTGATCCGCAAGTCGTGCGCAGACTTCGCCGACTGGAAGGCCAAGAATTTCCGCGTTTTTGTCGATAAGAATCCCGACTATAAGGCGAGGGAAGGGTTCGTGAAGTCCCGGTCCCCGTCCAAAGTGTCAGGTATTTTTGAGACCCCTTCCCCTTCAAACAAATAGTAACTATTGATTCCTAATTAGTGTATATTTTATTGGTTTTTGATTTGAATTTTTAATTATCGGTATAGTTGTCTGAATTATATTCTTGATGTAGTAAAATTTAATAGAACCTAAATGTTAGTAAACCTTGTATAAATAAATAAAATTTACTATTAAAATGTTATCCTGTATATGAATTTCGAGAATTGTTTCTCTCGAAATGAATGTCTATTCTATGATTTCATTACTATAAGAATCACTTAAAACTTGCAAATCATTTATGAATTTATCTCATCGTTTAATTAAAAAAGTAATTTAAGAAATATTTTAGGGTTTGTTATTGAGTTATAATTTCACTGATTTCAGGAATATTTTCATAAATATAAGGAATATAATGAATATACTACAGAGTGATTTGATAATCCACTTTTTTACAGCGTAAATGTGGGTAAAAATGCACTGAATTTCACTTCGTATAAACATTATTTTTACTAAGTTATGATAAAGTCATTAAATTTGATTCACATAACAAATATACACTTTTATATATTTATCAACAAATATATGTCAAAATATTATACCCCTTAAAACTGTTGAATATAGATTTTATCATAATTTGAATTTTGTTGATAAAAATCTGTGTCAAGAATCTCTGAGTTTCGCATTGCATTTGAATAATTTGTTTTGTGATTTTAATTGAATATATTTTTCTGATTTTGGTGTATATTAGGACCCGAAGACGTCGTCAATTATCGCCCAAATAAGGGCCGCCTTTTCATTGGCGGACACAAAGGGTGACAAACGGATTGATGGACCGGAACTCAAAGTGATGCTCTCGAAGCTCAAGATTCCTATCAGTGATGCCATTATCGACCAATTGATCGCAGAAACGTCCAAAAATGGTACAAATAATTGTCATAATGAGAGACACATAGTTCTGTCAAATCTAACCAGGATTGTATTCTGCTTATTAGTTAGAGTTTTGTAAAAACAAATGTGATTGACCAAGTACAGTATGCACTCTGAGGGAAAAGTTTTAGAGTGATTATAAAGTGCTTGATTAATTTTATAAATAACTATTATTAAAATGGTCAATCACATTTTAATACTTGTTTTATAGACTACATAAATGCTACTTAAGATATAGAAACACTATAAATTAATAACATTAGTATAATTAATAACCTAGACTAATTGTCTATATGGCATTCCTGTTATTATGTATTATGTATAATAAGAATACTTAATATAAACCTAAGACCTGGATATTAATGATACGCTATGTTTAGGCGATGGTATGATAACGGAGGAGGAGTTCTTCCGGTGGATGCTTAAGATGGACGCACACGAAGACGATGTGGAGGGCGAGCTGAGGGCCGCCTTCAAGATCTTCGATATGGACAGCAGCGGAACCATTGAGATCGAGGACATCAAATGGGCGCTCGAGTTGATCGGCGAACCCATCACTGACG